GTTGCTATGCATTCATGGTACTTTCCCAATAGAAATGCTACAGCTCAGTGTCCCTTAAAACTGAAGTTTATGCTGACCAGGTATGCTCTGAAAGGGCACGTATCTGCTTCATTGTACCCAGGGATACTGGACTCCTCCTGTAACTGCCTGTATGATGGATGTCACATATTATGACACAGAAATATCTTCCCATGACCAGCCCTGCTCCAGTAGGAAGTTTGGGGAGTGACAGTTGGAGATAAAGCAGAAGGCCTGGCCTGTGCCCTTCACACCTGCTTGATAAGCAGCCGCCTTGTGCTCTGCACAGTGGATCCAGGCGGCCTTACCCATGGTGATCCCAGCTGGGCTGCACCACAGGGAACCGAACAGGCATTACTGACAAACCAGGGAGGGTACGATAAGCAAATGATCAGCATGCTGTGAAGCCAAATATTGGCTACATGAAGGATGGAAAAAGATATAACAGTGGTAAGACTTTATGAAGCAAGATAAATATACTGCAAGCACTTTTCTGCGTACGCAAACCTGAAAATTAAGTTCAGAGAATGCTGTTGGCTCAAAAAGCCAACCAGATCCTGCACTCCCCTCTTCTAGCAGTACACAGAGTCCAAAAATATGAATGAACTGAAGCAATCTGGATCCTATTTGGTCGTTCAGCTCCGATGACTCATCTTCCCTGAGCTCTCCTTAGGCTAACGACAAGGAAACAAACAGAAACAAACAAGCAGAACAGTATTGAACTTGGCCTGATTCTGGTAAAGTAGGGTACCCAGGATTTTATCACTAGGTACTACTTGCACTTCTTGTATCACCTGTACCCCAAGTAAGAATTAAAGGTTTTACAGGCAAACAATCTGTTTTTCTCTGAAGCCACAAATAATTTTTACTTGAATCCCGGGGCAGCCCAAAATTTTACCCAAATAAATTGTTGAGAAATTTGCTGTCTGACGGAGCTTAAGGAAAGCATCCAGTCAGGGCAGCTCCTGTAGGCTCTCTCCTTAAATCCAGTGTGTCCCCTTTGAGCTGTGACCCAAAACGCTCCATGCAGAGCAGAGCCGCACATTAAGTGCAGAAGCCTGAGTCAGCTATCCCCAGCCAGGAGCAGTAACGTGAAGTGGTGGCTGTGACCCTTCTAAATCCTCTGGGTGAGAGTGAAAAAGAATGTTACACTCCTGAGACACAGTCAGTAGCAGTGCCAAGAGTGAGAGTCAACTCAGAGGCTGCCCTCCTCTCTTGGGAGTTCCTGCCCTTGCGAGTCCAGTCTGGCATCCTACACAGTCCTTTATTTTTGAAGGTACAGGGTGACACAATTATTAAATGAAAAGTAAATGCTGTAAGCACAATTTTATGACTGAAAACAGTATAATCACCTTGGATGTGATTTTTGGGTGATGGACTACATTTCTTACCCTGGTTTGAATACTTGTGTGCCTGTGAGCTTGCCTGCTTCCTCTGCCTTTACTGACTGCCCTTTAAAAGGTACCCCTTCTCCTTAGAAGCTTCTGGGACCCCATCAGCATAAAGCAGTGCCTCCTCGACCTCCTAAAAGGGCTTTCTATCCTTCCTCATGCATTCCCGAAGCTTTCACATCAGATGGTCTGGAGAGGGAACAAGCTTGGCTATCCCTCAGCAGAGGGATCTGGTGCTGCGCACCCACATCGGGTGACACTGAGACGCTAACTGACGCTAATTCTAATGTCGATGCCGAAGTAAATCCCCTGATACCTCAGTTCCTCCGCTGGAAGATTCGGGCCCTGCCCCGGCCCTCGGGAGGATGCAGGTGGCTGTGCCGGCTCCAGACTCGGGTTGCCGGGGTCGCGCCGAGGAGGGGGTTTCGGCCGTGAGCCCTTCTGCCGCCTGCGCTTCTCTCCGGCGGGGCCGGGCGGCGCTGGCGGCCGGGAGTGCCTGCCGTCGAGGCGGCTGCGAGACACCGCCCACGCCGGGGGTGGCCCCGCGTGGGTCCAGGGACGCGCGGGCGGCGCCTGCAGCAGACAGCGGCGAGGGACCGCGGCCGCAGCGCATCGGCAGCGCCCAGAGAGCCGCACCGAGCCGAGGCGGGGCGGGATGCGGGCTCCTCTGGCCGCCGGGGCGAGCCGTCCCCGCATCCCGCACTGACGGCCCCCCCGGCGCCCGCTCCCTGCTCTGGGGCTTGGCCGGGAGCCGGCGGCTCCCCGGGGCCGCGCAGCCCATGGCCAGCTCCGCGCAGCCCCCGGCGGCCGCGGGGGGCGGCCCCGACGGCGGGTCGCTGACCGGGGGCGGCGAGGCCTTCGGGGACCGCTCCCTCAGCCAGGGCCTGAGCGTGCTGGTGGGGCTGGGGCTCTGCGTGACCATGCTGGGGCTGGGCTGCGCCGTGGAGCTGGGGCAACTGGGGCAGCAGCTGCGGCGGCCCGTAGGGCTGTTGCTGGCGCTGCTGGGGCAGTTCGTGGCTATGCCGCTGCTGGCCTTCCTCCTCGCCCTCATCTTCGCCCTGGATGAGGTGGCGGCCGTGGCCGTGCTGCTGTGCGGCTGCTGCCCCGGGGGCAACCTCTCCAACCTCATGTCGGTGCTCGTCGACGGGGATATGAATCTCAGGTAGGCGCCCCGCTCTCCTTCACCCCCAGCCGGCCGGGCTGCGGCGGCCCCGGGACGCGAGGAGGGTTCGCTGGGCACCTGCCGCCGGTGGAAGCGGGATGGACGGATGCGCGGACGGACGGGCGGGCACGGCGCGGTGGGAATCTGCAGCACTGCTCTCCTGCTTCTCCCGGGGCAGATCTTACGCGGACCCCGACACACGCCTCCTGCCCTCTCCCCTAAAAAGCCTGCCCGCGCCCCGGCCGGGGCGGGGAAGGAGGTGGTCTCTTGCCGTGAGAAGCGCCCGGCCGGCTGCAGAGCCCTCTTACCGAGGGGCTGCCCCCCGGCCGGGCAGGCGGTGATCCCGTGTCACTTTGGTTCCCCCGGCGCAGCATTATCATGACGGCCTCCTCCACTCTGCTGGCTCTTTTCCTGATGCCCCTCTGCCTCTGGATCTACAGCCGCCACTGGATCAACACGGCCGTAGTGCAGCTGTTGCCCCTGGGGGCGGTGAGCCTGACGCTGGGCAGCACCCTGCTGCCCATCGGCCTGGGGGTGCTCATCCGGTACCGGCACCCCCGCGCCGCCGACCTCCTGGTCAAGGTAGGCACAGGCCCCGGGGGGGAGGTGGGCGGCCGTGCTGCGGGAGGATGCCCGGGGGCGGCACCAGTGGACGGGGGTCGGACGGCAGTAACCTTTCTGGTCCCTCCAAACCGAGGGTAGCTTCACACAGGCATATTCAACTACTTAGGTGGAATACCAGGACTTACAGTCTTGAAATAAAACGGTGGGGCAGAGACGGAAAGCGAGGGAAAGGGCGGGTTACCCCCTACAACAGTGCATGGAAAGGAGGGCAGCGTGGCACTGCACCCTGGGAGTCATCCTGGACCCTCTACCTGAAGCATTCCCCAGCACCCCGCTTTCTCCCCACTTCAGCTGCACCCAGGGCAAGTGAAACCAACCTGCAGGCATGGCCATGCTTCCTGAAAATATGCAGCTAAATTAGCTTAATTGTGAAAGGAAGCACAAGCCCTGGCTCTCTTGATTCCCAGCAAGTCATCCCAAAGCAAAATGATGGAGGGTGACCTCAGCCCCTTCCTTTCCTGGGATATGATCAAACACCACCAAAATCCCAAGCCAGGAGCAAACCCAGGAAGGGCAGCGCAACCATGTTTTGCAGTTTAGACTCTCTTAGCAAGTGTCTACCTCCTATGCTTACCCTTTTAAACTAATAACCCCTGTGTTCGATGTCTGTATCTGTTGCCAGATTTCTCTGTGGTCTCTCTTGGTGACTCTAGTGATTCTGTTCATCCTGACTGGGACCATGCTGGGCCCAGATCTGTTGGCACACATTCCTGCATCTGTCTACGCCATTGCAGTGCTGATGCCTCTAGCAGGGTATGCCTTGGGATATGGCTTAGCCACGGTCTTTAAAATGCCCCCACACTGCAGGAGAACAGTGTCTTTGGAAACAGGATGCCAAAACGTCCAGCTCTGCACCGCCATCCTAAAACTCACCTTCCCCCCGGAGCTCATAGGGGGCATGTACATGTTTCCCTTGCTTTATGCGCTTTTTCAGTCGGCAGAAGCAGGTCTCTTTGTACTGGTATACAAGATGTATGGAAGAGACAGCTACAAGCAAGATACACTCGGAGAAGAGGAAGACACAGATATTTCCTACAAGAAACTGAAGGAAGAAGAGGTAGCCGATACTTCATATGGCACAGTGACCACAGAGGAGCACAACTCCATTCAGATGGAGCCAACACAGACAGCGCTTTAGGCGAGATAAAGAGGTGTCTCCCTGGGATGTGAATGTGTGTTGTGCTTGCAACCAGGCTGGCGCTGCGCTCGCTGCTGTGCAAGCAGAGTTGCCCAGCCTCCATTGTTTCTCCAGCTGCTCCCATTGTACAAGGTGATGTGTGTTTATTACTGTGACAGTTCTACTTCTTCAAAAAGTAAATGGAGGAGGGCGTGAAGGTAAAAAGTATCATTGTGATGCAGACCAGTAACTGTAAAACTTTATGTAAGGAGGCTGCTGCCCGGCTGAGTGCAGCAGAAAGAAGGAGACAGCGTTTAACAAAGGCAAAGCCAACTCAGTGCCAGTACGGATGAAGGGAAAAACCACCTCGCGCGTGTATCTCTGTGCCTCCCACCTGCTGTAAAAGCATTGTGCTCGTTGTTCTCACCACAAATACATGGCGAAGCCGAACCAAACCCGTGTTCTCCTCTGTCTAATCCCGCGGGGGTAATTAAAAGCCGCGCTGCCCGGTTCACCTGAGGCGCTGTGCGTTGCATGGGGGGATTGCCCGAGGCCCAGTACCAGGCGGAGACGGGAAGGGGCAGCAAAGCCGGCGCCCGTCGGGGGCGGGGGAAGCCCGTCCCCGCCCCGGGGGTATTTAAGGCCGTACCTGCAGGGAGGGCACTCCGGGTACGGTGCGATGGCGGAGGAGGGGATGGCGAGTTACCTGTACACCGCCTACCACCCCTACTCCTACCGCTACCCGCCGCCCAAGGGCAAAGGGGGAGCGGCGGGCGGCTGGCGGCCCCGGGGCAGCGGCTACTTCTCGGGTTACGGGGACGCGGCGGCGGCCGCCGAGTACTTCGACAACTACCAGCGGGCGCAGCTGAAGGCCATCCTGTCCCAGGTCAACCCCAACCTGACGCCGCGGCTCCGCAAGGCCAACACCAAGGAGGTGGGCGTGCAGGTGAACCCGCGGCAGGACGCCTCGGTGCAGTGCTCGCTCGGGCCCCGCACGCTGATGCGCCGCCGCCCCGGCCCCGCCGCGCCGCGGCCCCGCGAGGCGGAGCAGGAGCTGGGCAGCCCCGCCACCACCAGCACCCGCGCCGTGCGCTTCCCCCGCACCATCGCCGTCTACTCGCCCATGGCGTCCCGCAGACTCACCGCCTTCCTGGAGGAGCCGAGCGCGGAGCCGGAGCAGCGGCCGCAACAGCAGGACAGGGTGGCGGCGGCCGTCGAGGAGGAGCCGGCCGCGCTGAGGGAGCAGCGGGAGGCGGAGGCGGCCGCCGTGAGGGCAAGCTGGGAGAAGCCCACCGAGGGTGGTGCCGAGCCGCTGGGGCAGCGCCCGGCCACCACCCCGGAGCCGCCAGCGGCGACGGAGACGGGCCAGGAGGAGGAGGTGGAGGTGGCAGAGGCAGCGCGGGCAGAGCCGGCAGAGCCGCCGGCCGCACCGCAGAAGAGGGAGCCGTCGGCGGGCAAGACCCGCCTGCGCTTCCAGGTGAGGGGTGGCCGGGGGGGAGTGGAGCGGGGCCGGGCTGGCCCGGGAGGTGCCCGCCCCGTCGAGTAACAGTTGTCCTCGGCAGTTTCTGGAGCAGAAGTACGGGTACTACCACTGCAAGGCCTGCAACATCCGCTGGGAGAGCGCCTACGTCTGGTGCGTCCAGGGCACCAACAAGGTAGGGCTCGGATCGTCCCCGCGCGGCCCCCTCGCCGCCGCCCCCCTGCTGACTCCGGCCTCCCCCCAGGTCTATTTTCGGCAGTTCTGCCGGACCTGCCAGAAGTCCTACAACCCGTACCGTGTGGAGGATATCACCTGCCAGGTAAGGGACGCCCTCCCTGCCCCGGGCCGGGCGGCCCCTGGGTCTGGCCACCCTCCCCGACCGCCGCCTTCTCCCTCAGAGCTGCAAGCAGACGCGGTGCACCTGCCCCGTGAAGATGCGCCACGTGGATCCCAAGAGGCCCCACCGCCAGGACCTCTGTGGCAGATGCAAAGGGAAACGCCTCTCCTGCGATAGCACATTCAGTTTCAAATACATCATCTGAGTGGGATAGGGGCTTTTTTTGGTTTTGTTTAGGGCTCTTCTAGAAAACTGCAAGTAGAGCAGATTTTTTTGTTGTTGGTATTGCTGAAGATACTCAGTGAGGTGTAGCTAGGAAAGCATGAAAATAAAAGTATTGCAAAGCATACTCAAATGATCAGGTGGGTTCGTGCATGTTGCAAAATCTGTAACTTGCACAGGGGAAGAGCCCACAAGTGTTTTGTAAATCGGTGATGGTTTTGGAAGCACCTGGCTCAGGACCTTGTAGAATTTCAGGTGGAAACGGTTTCTGTTACTGCTCCTACTCTTGAACTAATCAAACACTTGAAGTTAACATCAAATCAACATTTACAGTAGGTAGTAGACCATCTTTCATGAACTAAACACATTATAGTATTCACTTACTGTACCCACTTCTAGTCCATGTAGAAAGTATCCTGCACCTGTTTTTCATCACTAGAAAATGATTGAGGAAAGCTGTGTAAGAACTAGGTCACTCTTACTGGTACAGCTGGTCTGCATTTAGCTAAGCTGGTGTTCTTGTCTGTAGACTAAAGCCAAAGAAAGCTTTTCAGGGATAGTTTTCACAAAATGCTGAGGAACAGAGTCACTGATGTTATGGTCTCTTAGTAATGTGTTGCTCATCTTTCTTGTGCAAGCTTATCAAGAGAAGTGACACTTCAGAGGCTCAAGGTACAATACTGCATCTGCCTGGCTTCCTCTTCAACCCATAGATGAAGCACTAGAGCTGTGTGCTTACTGGATTACACTTGAGGAGTTTGATCTAGTTATGGTTTAGATGCCTGCCATCAGGGAAGGATCAAACTCCCATACCCTTCTAGGGTTGAGTTTGCAACTAGGAATTGTACTCTTGGTGTTTGGTAGTAATGACAAAACCAGCACTCTTTACTCCCAGACAATGCTCTCTGTTGGTGTTGTCAGTGGTGATGCCCTGTGTAGGGGCACCATGCTTCAGCAGAGTGTTACAAACTGACTAGGACTAACCACAGCATCACTATCTGAGCAGATTCAAAAGCTACTAAAACCTACACTGCCACCCCCAGTCTACTCTTTAGCTAAGGAGCTGGGTAAACTTAGAGGAAAACATACGTTTCTGAGAATGCTACTGAACACCAATTTTGAAATAGAACACCATAATGCACAAAGCCTTTTGCAGAACTCTAGAGGTAGCTTCTCTTTGAAAAGAGTGATTTATCTTGGTTATCACAAACTGGTCTACATCTGTACCTAGCTTACTTGAGACCACTATTTTAAAGACTAAAGGGAGAACTATTCTGAGCCCATGCTGTACAGCAGCTTCAGGGCCAGGTGGTTTTGCATCTCCAAGTGGAAACTAGTATATGGCTGGGTAGGCAAACAATATCCCTTGTACAAATATGTCTGTTTTGAGGGGCAGTGTTAATCCTGTAGGTTTAACTCATCTTGCTTTATTTCAATATACCCCTTGAACCTGCTGCAGTGACTAAGGCTTAATGCCTCAGTGCCAATTTATTGCCGAGTAATTTTATTTATTTTTGCTGTGTTCATTATTATAGCAGCATGAGGCATTCTGGGAACAAGTAGGCCTATCCCCTCCAGAGCAGAATACTGTTTTATTTCATACTTCTACCTGAAGTGTTTTTCCCTGTATCACAGTGAAAGTAAATACCCCTTGCTTTACCAGCTCACTCAGGCTTTCAAAGCAAGTTTCATCCTTGCTCTGATCAACTTGAAAAGTACACCTGCAGCTGGGCAGTTTTCTGTGGGTGTGTGTGCCTTGTACTCACCTGCAGGTACTGTAATGAGCAGTGGCAAGTCTCCAGCTTGAGGAGGAATCAGTTGGGACCCTCTCTGCAAGCCATCCAGCCACACTGCCTCAGCTTGCAGTTGCAGCTGTGATCTAGGATGTCTTCTAACTTCTGGGCATATTCCCCTCTAAGGGTGTTCTTCAATACATTTTCCTATTTGCCTTCCCCATTCTAATGGTCTGTTCCTGATGTATGCAGTGAGAGCCTAATGGTGATGAATTTGTGCACGTTGATAACGAGTCTGAGAACTGAAGCTCTGTGCCATGTCAGTATCAAGTCATATGGCAACTAATAGCAATATGAGCAGTCAAGTGCTTCCTACTTTTACATGTATTCTCACAAGTGTTGCTTTGAGGTTTACTTGCTGTGAATATGGTGACTCTTACATGATTATTATCAGTAATAGCCCAAAGTGAAATTTAGTACAACTTAAGGGTTGTCATCCCCACTAAGCAGAGCAGCAGTTAGTTCTGCTTGATAAGATGTAGAACAGGCCTAGCGGATGTGAACTTGGTGCTTCAGCAGCAACTTGTCCAAGCAAGCAGCTGATGAAGGTTCCCAGGGCAGGTAGCAGCAAAGAGCCACCCCTGCTTTCATTAGCTACTGCAAAGTTTCATGACTTGGAGGAGTAGAGGGCAGTGGACAGCCATATTAAACAAGCTTTCCTTTATCCTATAGCATTCCTCAGTTCCATAGTAGCTCTACATGTCATCCCTCTTACATAAATATATTCAGTGCTTTTACTGCTCGATGCCAAAGTACAGTTCTGTATTTCTCTAGTTCCTTTTCAATTTTACTGCCCTGTCATGTCCTTGACAGCACACGCTGTGTGTCATGGGCACTGGTTCCCAGACTCAGCAGGAAGAAGGAAAGCAACTCCTGACCTGTGTGATTATGCAAAGTGGAAAGAAACAGCCCTTGTGTTGCCAGTTCTTCAAAGATATCTTGAACTTGCCCTGTATGGCTTTTTCATGACGGGATTCTTTTGCACATGTTAGCTCAGTCAGTGCTATATTTGCTGCATCTTACTGGAGCTGTCTGATGTTTTGTTTTTTTCTAGACAGCTTTACCATAGCTTCAGATTTGGAAAAGACCTGGCATCAGGTAATGCAGGGTGGCAGTTTATGCAGTAGTTGAGGAGTAATTTTTTAAAAGCTTCACAAAGTTAAAGCAATATCACACACCGTCAGCTGGTGTGCTTCTGCTCCATAGGGCAGGTTCCACTAGCCATTATAAATGGAGGAAGATGTAAAGCATAAGGAATGACATATATGAATTCAGGTTTGAGTTTCATGAGAAATCCATTAACAGTTTCAGAAGATGCCTAGGAAAATGCTGCTGCAATGACAGGACATAAAAGGAAAAAAACATGACTTCAGGGCACCCAGGCTTCTGTTGTCAGTGTTTGGTCTGCTTAGCTAAAGTATTTAAAATCTAGCTTGTAAAAATACACAAAATGACAGATACAATGTCTTTTATTTTTACAAAAAAAGCTGGTAAAAGATGATGTAAATAAAAGTGTAATGTGCCCCTAAATAAAACTACTTATCCCTGGTAAATACTAATTAAATAATTAAAAACACCATCTACAGTACCACAAAACCATCAAAATAATTCAATTTTATCAGGGACAGGGGAAAAAAAAATACAGTGAATATGGATGTGCCTTGACCAGTTACAGAACTTGTTAGGATAACATAACTACTGTCAGCAGTCCAACAGTGTGCACAGTGCCTTCAATTAATGCATTTCAGCATAATTACATTTCTAGTGGGGTCTAATTCCCTCAAAAAGGCAGAGCTAAGAATTTCAATTCCACATTCTAAACTCTGGAATTAGAGCCCATTAAAAAAAATCACAGTGGGTAAGAGATGTATATAAAAATACTGGGTGTTCCTTTCAAATCACAGGCATAGTGGGACTACATTCTTTTTTTCTTTTTTTTTTCTTTTTTTTTTTTTCTACAAAATGCTATTGGTTTCAACAGAATCCAGTTTGTTTTATGCTACAGACTTTGACACTGAACTATGAATATATTGCCTGTTTGCATGTTTTGGTAGTCAGTCATTTATTTTTTTTCTATATAGTCCCAATTCCTTAGGCTGCAGTTGAGTCACGAAGACGCATATACGTGCATTCAAACTCTTCAAACCCTGCAGACTACTCAGACTGCAAGTACTGCATGTGACTACCACGAGGGAACCCCCCTTCCCCTCATAGCTTTATACACCTACTGTTTTAACAGTGCATTGCACAAATTTACAAGAAAAATACTGGTTTTGCACTATACAGTTTCTAGAATATATACAGAATAAAATAAGTTAACTTCTAATGAGAATTGCTGATGGGCAGCATATATCTTTAATATACATTTTGAAGTCTCTGCAGGCAGCTACTTTTTGGTTAGTTGTTATCAATATTTGTAACATAAGCACTGGTCAGAGAACTGAGCAGCATTCCAATAAAGTTAACAGATATATTATTTCTTTTAGAAACACTGGAAAATCCCAGTTGAAAATATTATTAAATGTCCTAACATTTACACACTATGAGGATTAGATCTAATAAAATAAAATTTCTTCAAAAATAATCTTGCAGCTCTTTTAAGCATGCTCTGAGACCTTATTTAACAATCATCCATACCTTCAAAAAACAAACTGTCACATAGCCATACATTCTAACTCACACACATAATTTCCTTATTACAGACAACAAAAGCAAATAAAACACTGAGAAGTCAATGTTTTTTGCAGTCGTAAGTTGTTCTACTCATGTTGGACCGCACATTCTTCATGACATTGCAAAGTGTCGCGTTAGGTATTAGTTGATGATTATATCTACTACTGCTGGAAAAGCCAGGAAGCCTTGCAGGTCTTCAGCCAAAATAAACCAGCCTTGATTTTAGCATCATCCCACCTGCGATACTGATTCAACCTGTAGAGGCTGTTACTGCAAATATCATTTAGAGTTCTGTTATAACAGAAAATAATGCATATGTATGCATTACATTTAAGCCCTTTTCCTTTCATGTAGTTTTTATAGTTAAATTTAATAAAAAAATACTGCTGCCACACAGGCTGCTGTGTAGAAAGAGCAGTCAAGTAGGATGTTCACTTCAATTTTCAGATTTTTACTTTTGATGAAACAGTTTCTTGCTGTGATAAAATTGTGTTGGTTGTCAGGATTGCTGGAAGCTTGTTTTTATGTTTTTCATGAAAGGTGCTCAATAATAGTCCGAAGTGTCATCATCATCAGTTCTTTTCTAAATGACAGCTGTTCAGAATCCAGTGCTCACAAGATTTATTCCTGGTCTGATCTTCCCTAGAAGCTGATAGGATTGCACCATGCGTAGAGACTCT